AATTTTTTATCGATTTATAGGTTTTTTGACTTTTCGATTTACCAATTTATCAGTTTTTCGACATTTTAGTTTTGGGATTTTTCAACATTTCGATTCTTAATTTATTTACTGTCTCGATTTTTTCTTTTCTCGATTTTCTTTCCACCTTTCTCGATTTTTCAATTTTCGATTCTTCAATTTTTAGACAATTTAATTTTTCGATTTGTTAAATTTTAGAATTGTCGATTTTTTATTTTTCAATTCGACTTGTCGGTTTTAGATTTTTCGATTTTTCAAATTTTCGGATTTTACATTTTTTTATTCCTTAATTTTCCAATTTTTCGAATTCTGGGTTTATCGAGATTTTGATGTTTCGATTTTTCAATTTTTCGATTTCCCAATTTTCTCGTCATTTCAGTTTTGGGATTTTTCAATTTCTCGGCTTCTTAGTTTTTTGATTTTTCAATTTTTCGATATCTGTATTTATCGAAATTTCGATGTTTCGATTTTTTATTGCTCAATTTCCCGATTTTTTTTACTTTTCAATTTTTTTTATTTTTGATTTTTCGCTAGTTTTAACTTTTAATTTTTCCAATTTTCCAATTTTTCGATTTTAAGCGATTTCGATTCCCAGATTTTTCAATTTTTGGATGTTTTGATTTTCCTATTTCTAGGTTTTAGATTTTCCGACTTTTCAATTTTTCGATTTCCCAATTTTTCCAGATTTCAGTTTCAGAACTTTCCAATTTCTCGATTTTTCAGTATTTCAATTTTTAATTTTGTTTTTTTGTTTTTCAATGTTTCAATTTAGATTTTCCGGTTTTAAAAATTTTTGATTTTTGGATTATTCGATTTTTCCTTTTTAAATTTTTAGATTTCTTGATTTACAGAGATTTCGATGTTGCGATTTTTCGATTGTTCAATTTCCCGATTTTTCGATTTTTTGTTTTTCGATTTATGGATTTTTTTCACTTTTAATTTTCCAATTTATCTATTTTTTTAATTTTTCGCTTTTAAGTTATTTCGATTTCAATATTCAATATTTTGATTTTCCGGTTTCTGGGTTTTTCGATTTATCGATTTTCCAACCTCTCAACGTCTCGACTTTTCAATTTTCGATTTCCCATTTTTTCGAGATTTCAGTTTTAGGATTTTCCAATTTCCAAATTTTTCAGTTTTTCAATTTTTCAATTTTCGGATTGTTCGTTTTTCAACGTCCCGGTTTTCGGATTTTTAAAATTTTTCGATTTTTACATTTCTCCGTTTTTCAAAGTTTCGATTTCTCAATTTTTCAATATTTCAATTTTGGGAATTTTTTAATTTCTGGATTTTTAGATTATTCGATTTTACGATTTTTTAATTTTTAAAAATGTTTTCATTTTGAAAAATTTTTGATATCTCGATATATCGACATCCCAATTTTTCGGTTCTTTAATTTCCGGATCTTTTCATTATTCAATTTGATTTTTCGATAGGTCGCTTTTTTTAATTTCAAATTTTCCAATTTTTCGAATTTAAGCTGCATATTTGGATTTCTCGATTTTTCAAGTTTTGGATGTTTTGATTTTCCGATTTCTAGGTTATTGGATTTTTCGATTTTTCAGCTTTTTGATTTATTGATCTTCCAATTCTTGATGTTTCGACTTTTCAATTTTTCGATTTCCCAATGTTTCCAAATTTCAGTTTTGGAACTTTACAATTTCTGGATTTTTCAGTTTTTCGATTATTCAATTTTTCAGTTTTTCGATTTTTAAAATTTTGTTTTTTCCGTTTTTCAATGTTTTTAGTTCTTTCGATTTTACGGCTTCTCGGTTATAGATATTTCGGTTTTTCAATTTTTCCATTTTTATAATTTTTGATTTTTCGATTCTTTAATTTCCCGATTTTACCATTTTTCAATTTGATTTTTCGATTTGTCGCTTTTTTAAATATTAAATTTTCCAATTTATCAATTTTTAATTTTTCGATTGTAAGCTATTTTGATTTCTCGATTTTTCGACTTTTCTATTTTTCGATTTCCCAGTTTTTCCAGATTTCAATTTTGGGAATTTTCAATTTCTCGATTTTTTAATTTTTCGATTGTTCAATTATTCAAATTGTCGATTGTATTTTTTTCAATGTTTCAGTTACTTGAGCTTTAGATTTTTTTAAATTTAAAATTTTCCAATTTTTCGTTTTTCCATTTTATGCTATTTCGATTTCTAGATTTTTCAATTTTTCGATTTATCGATCTTCCCATTTTTTTGAGATTTCGGTTTTGGAATTTCTCACTGTTTCAGTGTTTCCATTCTTCAATTTTTTTGAGTTTTCGATTTTTAATATTTTTACGTTTTTAATTTTTTCAATTTTTTGATTTTACGATTCTTTAATTTTTTTAATTCAATTTTTCGATGTCTCGATATCCCGGTTTTTCGAGTTTTTAAATTTCTCGGTTTTACAAGGTTCCGATTTTTCAATTTTTCAACATTTCAATTATGGGAATTTTTCAATTTCTGGATTTTTAAATTTTTCGATTTTTCCATTCCAATTTTCAGTTATTAGCTTTTTCGAAAACCATTTTTTCGAGTTAGTGTTTTGACTCCAAATAACTGCGAGACAAAAAAATTCGTGATTTTCTGAAATATTATTTAGTTTTTATTTTTTCCACCTCAATTTTACATAAATAATTAAATATTTCTGGAAAAACTTACCCTATTCCAATTTCTTTTTTACTTTCGAAACAACTTTGGAATTAATAAAAATTCTAAAAAAATTAAATAAAACACCAAAGTTCGGTAGAATGCCTTAAAAGATTATTATTAAATATGCCAATAAACAATCTATTAAAGAACTTTTTCGTCTTTTGAAAAACCGTCAAAAACGCTATAATTCTATTTCTGGTATCCCAAAATTCAAAAACAAATTTGGAGTTAGTTGGGAATTTTTGATGATGAAATAAAGGCAGATACACATAGAATTAGTTTTTCTACACTAAAAACCAAAAAGTAATAAAATTTGGAAAATCTACCAGTGGTACTTTTACAATATTTCAAGCCTAATTTTTAATTGTATTTTTTTAATAAATGTAGCTTATAAACGAGTATTTGGCCATGATTTCCGTAGTACTTTATAAAGTTTTCTTTGAGAAAAAAAATTGAATCCCAACACACTTATATTTTCGAAATTTTTGAAAATAAGTATCAAAACAATCAAATCCGTCAATTTATATTAAAAAACTTAATTTTTTCAATAGAAACAAAAACCTTAAAATACCCTCGAATCCCTAACTACATATGTTATAAATTACAATTTCTTCATAATTATATATACCGGGTGTCTTGAAAATGGCGGTTTTATTTTCGGATAAATTTACATTTTTGAACTTTCAGTATTTTATTTTATACGAATTTGAAAAAGCCTTGAGTGCCAAATTGTTTTTTTTTTTTTAATTCGGGAGACTCTTGAGTACCCATGGTGTATTATTTTGGGAGCCCATGGAGATTTTTTTTGAAAATTATTTAAAACAATTTTGGGGACTTTGGTATTCTATTTTGGGAAAATTCTGACCCGACCTGTTTTTGAGTTAATTTTGGAACCCCGTTTTTTATTTGAAAAATTTAAGACAACTTTTAGAAAAAATGATAAAATTTGGAAACATTACGAACTCACTTATATGGAATTTTGAATATTTTCTATAGTGGTTATTTGGTTATGCTTTAATGGCTTTTTCTTGTGTTGGTTTTATTGTCAATAATTTATAAATGTGTTATTAAATGTTCTTTTGTTTATTTATTAATGAAAAATAACATCTTATTTTATTATTGATAATGCACAACGATGAATGACTACTGGTTGTTATGGTTATTGTCCTAAAAAAAAATAAAAGGTGTAGGTATTCATGTATTAGGTGCGTGCAGTGTTGCCAATTTTACTTTTATAAAAATACATTTTTTTCGTAATCTACATCTTAAAGATTTTTTTATTTTTCCAGACACCCGGTATATTGTATTTTTTAATTGACTGTGTGAAACCTAACAGTACAAATTAGTGACATAACTTACGTTTTGTAGAATCGAACGATATTAAAAAGTTTTTGAGATGACGTCATCAACGACTTTTAACGCCAATCACGAAGTCGCTGTCAGAATATTTCGGAAGTCAAGTAAACCATTTCTGAGAAAGTCAACGTCTCAGTTCATATTTCTAAATTTTTCTCATCTCATACAAGAAATTGTAAACTAAAAGCACCGAAACCGTATTCAAAGCACATTTTTAAATTAGCACTCGCGGGTATTTAGTTTAATGATTTTCTGCGATGAGGTCATCAAGTTCCTGGAGGGGATGAATAAATAAACTGGATGGTCTGTTACGTGCAAATTTCACGTTTTACGACGTCATGAATTTTTTGGAGAAGATGTAAAGGGAATTTTTGTTACGTGTTTTACAACAATCTTAACGATATCTTACGGTGCGTTTAAAATTAACGAAATAATTTCGGTTATGCTTGAGCCACTCGTGAAAACAACTTTGCGGAGATTCTTTCTTATAAATTAAAAATGACAAGTCAGACCAACAGACGGAAACACGAAATGTGCAACTATTATGCTTCTAGACATTACTAGTCCGGACATAAAACTGCACAACTGCGATATTACGTGACGGTTTATGGTTACGTAACGTAACATATGACACCCAGTAGATCACAGGAAGTACTTTTAGTGTAGTTACAAAAATAATACCGTCGCTCGCGACCCACTCGAACCCTGGATCGCCGTCGCCGCCGACCTCGCCATTGACCCTCATTTTTCGAGCACATCCCGTCCTTATAATCGCGGATAAAACAAATCGGAGCCACCCGGTATACCCGCGACCCTCCGCCACCACCGACTTCGTCCCGCTGTCCCCAATTTCGAAAATGTCACTCCCCGAAACCGTCCCGATTTCGCCCCGGAATCTTGCCCCAATCCGTCCCGAAGCACCCCGTTCCCAGTTTGTTTTCCCAAAGCACAAATCGCCGCTTTCGGCGTTCCGGCAATACTCACCGGTCGAGCGCCTTTCGCAAGCCTGACCGAAGAAAAGCCCACAGAAGCACCTCTCGAGCACCAAACCGCCGAATCCCGCTCGATTACGCTGTCCAGACAACCGCGAAAACTAAACCAAGAGATGGCATGAAGAAAGAAACAAACCGGCCGGCTTTTTACCGTGAAACTGACAACTCGGATGGAATATTCCTACGAGGCGGCATGCGCACAGCGCTCCGCAGCCCCCTAACCTCACAAATTCGAACGGAAAAGGCCGGACCCGGCCACACTTACCGGGGACGGCGAGACGGGGCTGGGGGCGGCCGGTCCGGTCCTGCGGCGCTGCTCTGGGCCGGTTCGCACGGGAAATCACTCGAAAATAAGCGATTACTTGCACTTACATCAGAGAAGTGACAACCGGTGTTCGTTCGATACACTTTGACAATGAACTCAGCTGACTAGGGAAATTGCATTGCGCAATCGCGCCAACATAAATCCGGCCGTAACGCGAAAATTGACGTTTTTCTAGGGGGATTTTCAATTCTGGGGGGCTGTGGGGCCGGCGGCGGCGCGCACGGACCGGCCGGGGGGCTATTTTGGGACGAAAGGGGCGCGCGGGGGAGGCGGCTCGGGGCGATTATGTCATAAATCATATGGTTAGACGTCAAAATCAGCTGTTGGATTTATCAGTGCATAACTACAAGGTCTGGTCGAGAAGTCGGTGGAAAGTGACGGTCGAGCGCGGAGGTTGCACAACCTGCTGGATGCACCTGTCACTAACCACCCTTACGGACCATCGAATTTTTTTTGTTCAAAGTTGGTACTTTACATAATTTTAAAAACCTGTGGAATTTCAAAATTATAAAAAAAATGTAAAAAAAAATGTAATCCCTGACGAGTTTCTGAAGAGACAAATAACCATCTTGATCAAATAATAATTATTTTCTTTTTAAATTACTATTGTCAAAAACGTTAAATGTCAAATGGTCAGCAAGTTTGTTTGGATGGTTGATACTGGTGGTGTTATTTTTTTCACTAGTCGTCCCTACAGTGGCGGTTTTTGGGTCATTCTTTTTTTTATCAGTGTTTGACAAATAGGGAATTGTTTCTTAGATGTGTTCTATCTAGAAATCTTATCTTTTTGATATTTAATTATAAATAAAATCACTTCTGTTTCAGTACACACTTTATCACAATTTTCATATTGTTGTCCCTAAAAATTCTTATTCCAAAATTAAGCTAAATTTAAATTTTTAATGTCATAATAGAAATTTGAACGTATGATCCAAATTTGAAAAAAAATACAAACAAACTGTCTGATGTCTGATTTGTTGGCAATTCTCTACTTTGAGCCCCATCGTTCTTTGTTACCGTGCTTGAGTTATTTTGTTTTTGAAATATTTTCTGGGGGAAAATGTAAATTTATTCGGTTGCCTATACCACAAAAGAAATGTCATAATGGCCTCAACTGACAACAGAAGTAAATAAAAAAGAATGCACTTTTGTCCCTCCTGTTTTTTACAAAAAATTGTTAACTTCGGTGAAATTGTGCACTCGTCACCGAATTCGACCCTGCCTACTCTTGCCCAATACCGATTATACCTTTATTTCGTGCGATAAATGCTAGATTACGCTAATTACTACTTATTGGCAAACGCCGCAGCTAAATTAGTGGTTTAGCCGACTTTTGCGACAAAAACCTGCGTTAATTTTTTATGAGCCGTTCCACTTTCCCAACTTTGTCGGAAATTTGATTTATTTCTGGCCGTTCCGTGATGCTCTTAAATATATCATGAGCCTTATTTATTCGGATTCGATCTGAGTTGCGGATAACACAAAGTGAATAATGCGAAGTCGCAGATTTAAAAAAAATATGTCGGCATAGAAACAAGCGGAATGATTAAGTGCACCCGCTAGCGCAGGCTATATATCTACCAGGGGCGGCGTCCGAGATGAAATTATTAGCCGACGAGATTTTTTATTTATTACTGCTAATATATTATATTAGGTTTGTTTATTTTGTCAACGGGGTGTGAAACTATCAATCTTGTCAATCTATATTTTAATTACTTTCATTGTCTTTTTTACTTATTTATTGATTTTTTGAATTAGGGTAACTGCGGGGTTGACCAAGTTATTAACGTATAAAAGTAAATTTATTTTATATTCATATTTTTACACTGTTTTTACAATGAAGTTATTTGGACGGATCGGATTGTGAAACCTCGCGACATCTCGCGGTGGCGGCTTGAACTGCGCCGATTACCGCTGCACGGAAACCTGTAATTCAAAAAACATTGTCCAATACACCGAGTGGCCAAACAAAAATTCGACTCACCTTTTTCTTCCAGAAAATGTAGTCCAGCCGCCGTCGACCCCGCCGGCGACGTCACATCGTCCTTGAGCACCCCGGGATGAACCTTAGTGTCTCTCACCATTTGCGCCGCCCCCAGCACCGTCTGCGAGGCCAACCTGTACGCCAAATCCCTCGGGAGCCCCATTTTTACGCCACCGTCAGCCAGCGCTTCTATTAAAACATATATCTGAAAAAACCAATGGCGTTTACTGAATTTCAGAAACTTCAACCCCTCCTTACATACGCCGGGCCTGAGCCGCTCAAGGCTGTAACAGCGTCCAAGAAATTCTCCGTCACTTGTTCACAAGTGCCCACGGACTTCAACAACTTCTGGGTGATTTGGGCGTCTTCGGGGGTGGTGCGACTGCCTGTGACGAAGACGGAGGCGGCGTTGCGCACTAGTGCTGGGGTGTTGGGCATGACTCGAACCACGCGGGATTCGTGGGGCAGCAGCTACGTTAAAAATTTACTAGTGTGTCGATAATGTAATTGGGGGCGGCGAATACCTGCTCCAGCTGCTTTATCGTCACCCCCATCGCAATCGACAGGAACAGTTTGTCGGCTTTGACCTCCGACTTCTTGATGTCGCCCAAAGCCACCGGGACCACCGATGGCTTGACCGAGACGACGACGATGTCGGATTTTTGCACCACGGGGACGTTTTCGAACAGAGATTCGGCTCCCAGTTCCTGAATAAAAGTCAAGGTCGCTAAAAATGTTGATATTTCTTTGGTTTATCAGTGATTGCGCACTATTTTTAATACACACGATAAACGTTACCTTGAAAGCTTTGGCTGAGGCGAGATCCGAGGGGTGGCAGCTGGAGATCATAGTTTCACCCTTGGCCAGACCTGAAGGGAGTTGGTTATAGGGGCGATAAAGCGGTGATAAGATCGTCGTCTACTGACCTGCCGAAATAAATCCTTTTGCTAAAGCCTGGGCCATTTTTCCGCCTCCGATAAAGCCAATTTTTAAAAGATTGCTCGTCATTTTGGTTTCGTGGCGTAAGCACAATCATGCAGAACGAACTGTTTGTGTCAATTTTGGTATAGCAAATAAATAATATTGGGAAATGATTGGAGAGAATACTAATAATATCTTCTTATCTGTAAGTGTGCTCGATTCTGAGGTAATTTTCCATCGATTGTAAATATTGTTGTTTTTGGAGCGATATGGGATGGAAATAGGGTCGTAGCTGGTTTTTGCAAAATAATTTTGGATATTTTTGCGTAGTGTGGATTTGAAGGCGAACTTTGCCCTTAGTACTTATCAGAAATTGCAAATAAACAAGATACAAGCTGTGACAATAAAACTCTTTTGTGTAACACAGAGACTTTATTTATTTACTTTACATAAATAATGCTTAAAATATCTACATGTATGTACACCTAACTTAGGTATTGCGATGATTAAAATACTGGACGTCAACGAGTCAACGAGTAACCGGCGTGCGCGGTAACAGAATCAGTGTACGTCGACATCTCGTATTTTAAAAATTTTCACTTTCTGCCTACTATATCATCAAATTGTTACTCGCAGCTAGACTAGAAAACACATACTTCCACTACAGATTCATTAAAAATGATAAAAACGTTTAAAAAATATACCTGTGCCTGATTTAAAAAATTGCTATATACAAAATCCAAACCAATGTTACAAGTAGTACACATTTACAAACGATAAAACAACAACACTTTACAAATTCAACGTTGCATTGTTTATTACTAATTATTTTCTGTATAACAACGTTTTATAAATTCCTATTATTGAAACGTTAGCGTCAGTTGCACTTTCAAAAGGCTTATAAAAACTCTAACATCACTAAGTGGAGTAGATTATGGATGGTTTGATTGAATGCATGGTTTTACTATCTCGCAGTTGTAAAAACGTAGAGAAAACTAAATAATGCGCGACTTTGAGCATGTTCAAAGGGCACTTTCGCTGGATAAAAAGGTTTTAGGACCCTCGATGGTTAAAAGTGGCGCCGCATTCTAAAACTTTCATTGGTTAAAAAAGCGGAATGGTACATTTTCATTGGCTGGAGGCGACGAGCAAATCGCAAAACGCGTTCGCCACCCGGACCACTAATGAAGCGATTTTAGAAGTTTAATTGCATTGATTTCTCGTCTCGGGTGACGTGACAGCGTTTTGTATTTATTTAATCGAAATGAAAGCGCCCTTTTTCAGACAGGTTTGAATTTTGGCCCCATTAATTAAAATACCTAACTAAATTTTATTATATTTAACAGTATTTGGAAAAATTAACTTAAAACATTCCTTCGGTGGACAGTCCTTCGGAAACCGTTCTGTTGCAATGACGGATGGAAATTCTAGCAAATGCTCCTATTGGATGATAAAGCACATCACAATTGCGCTAACTATTGACTTTAATAAGTTATCACTTTGTTGATCAATGTACAGGCTGTTTCGTCGCTTGCCTCTTATTCTAAGTACAATGTTACACTAAGTTTTGATATTATTTGGTTATGAAAGTTGCAAAATTGTCGGCAAGCGACGAAGTTTTAGCGAGTCGGGGGTCACCCAGCAGTCTCATTTCTTGCGGACTATGACGTAACCTCGATAAGTCCACAAATGCGATCGCCCCATTTCTCGACTTACCTAGATCGCTCATGACTAAAACGAACGAACGAAAAAAGAAACGGAAACAGAAACAACTAAAACAGAAAAAATAAACCTTTATTTTAAAATGACAAAAATATAAAGATGACCTATTTAAATAATTTATAAATATAGTGAAGCCATCTAAATATGCTGAATAAATAATACAGGGTCGATACGGAAAAATATGAAATACGAAAACAAGTTTAAAAGAAGACAGTTCCTATTCTAAAATGGACGAACAATTTGCATTCATTTACATATTCGCAATTCGCTAGCTTACATTTCGATAACAAAAAACGGTTTAAAAATGCGTTCCAACATCGCCCGAATTGCAAATAAAACGCCTGTTTAGAACGCAATAGTGAATACTTAACGCCTACAGAATTGAACTAAAATCACAATCCACTGACTATTCAGTCAAGCATTGTTTGCAAAATATTTTGATTTGTGAACAGCGTTAAAGCGACTACAATCTCGGCACGAGTCGGGCGCGTCCGAGCACAAACACGTTATCACAATTTCGTGTTTGTCTCGAGGGTTTTGAATTTGGTCACAGAGTCCAAATTCCGTGTGCCCGCCTGCGTACATCTATATTGGAATAATCTCGTTTGTAATGTCTAATGTAGACGTTCATCAAATGCCATATTTTTGCAAACTAGAGAGTTCATTCGCTAAAAGGATAGGGTAAATGCTATTTGACGGGATCTAACATATCTTTCAGACGCTTCATCACGTGCGAACCGATGTCTTGTACTTCTGGCCATTGTCTTAAGATAAAAACTGTCGCTAACACTATGAACACCGTTGTAAGAATTCTCACCCTGCAAACAAATAACACCAATACTTAACGAATCGCACACTCGGGGTAATAGTTAGTGGCAAAATCGACCAGCCGGGTTAAAAACAAGCGACGACGATCCAGGCACTGGTTAAACAAACGAACAAGTGGAGCAGGACGTTTTACGGGAAAGGTTTGTTCGAACAGTTCGAAATTCCCGCCAACTGACGTCAAATTGTAGTAGGCGGGGCCAATTAGTAATTTGCGGTCAATAGGAAGCGGCACATGGTGTGCCGCATACTTCCGACAATGACAATTCCTATAAAACTCCTGCTACCAAGATACATTTTTCGAAACTTCTATGATTACTTCTAGTTTCTATTTATGTATTTTTTTACTTATTTACGTAGACGTCCAAGATTGAGGCGCCGTCGCACAGCAAGCTCGCCGGTTAAGTTCAGTTGCACGTTACCAACACAAATCCCCAAAGTTCCTGAATCTCGAGACAAAGAGTGCGAATTTTCGTCGAGATTCAGCAACTCGAAGACAACCACGCGCCAAACTCAAGCAAAAACAAGTCAGTCTGGATTTATCAAAGAATTAATATATTTAAAAAGTCTAACGTCATTTTACAAATAAAAATAAAACAAATCCCTTTTACCTATCTGTCACGTTTTGGACACTGTCCTTGTAAAAATGGAAGACCTTGCGGCACTTATCGAGTATTTTTCTGAAGATCCATCCACGATTTCAGTTACAGTTACAGTTCTATCATAATTCCTAACATGAAAAACAACAAAAATAAAAAGTGCACACCAATCAGAAGCCACAATAAATGTAAACCAAGACTGACATTGATACTCGAAAACGAAGAAAAATTTTTGCTGAAGCATACCTGGTACGGAGAAACGGCATAATGATGCCGGCTCCCGTCGCCACTAGAAGGAGGACGACCTGGAGGACAGTGAGCAGGATATTTATCAATTTGACAACGAGAGCCCTAGCATTCGAATTATCCAGTCCTTCCAGCGTCACGTACTGCTGCTGCTGGAGAGCCTGATGCTCCATTTTTTGTATCTGCAATAACCCCGTCATAAAATAAGTCACAAGTCACCCCACCACCTGCATTACTTTAGTCTGACAGTGCTCTAATATTTCGTGAATGTCCCTGAGTCGTTCTTCGCTTTGATATTGCACTTTCTCCTCCATGTCGGCCATCGCTTGCTTCAAATTCTCCACTTCGTTCTGGTGGAGCTCGGTTAAGTCGTTGATTTGCTCTTCCAGGCGCTCGGTGCGGAAGCGCTCCTCCTAACAAAAATACACACAAAATTTTAAATTCGCATCCCACCGACTGCGCCATTTACGCGTACCTGCAACGCCGCGTTCAAATACTGTATCTCCTGCGGCAGCGACTTCATCTGATCCAGCTTCTCCTTCAGCACGTCGATCTCCTCCTGTTTTGCGGTGAGTTGTTTGTAGAGTGCCTTCAGCGATTCCTGATTGGATCCGCTCTCTTGTCCTCCGAATCTGCAGCGTTACAACAGATGACAGGTTTATCAAGCGTGACAGGACCTTTCCGACGTTATTGTTTTCGGCGCGGTATCGTAATTGACGTTCTGTATCTTTTCGGGTAACGAACGGGTGTCTTTATCAATTGGAATATGGATTTGCTGGAGGCTTGCCAATTCGGAAAGCGTGCAAAGTTTATGTTCATTCATCTGTTGTTCATTAATAGTTCGGATACGAGCGTCCGGATTCGATTGAGGGGTTTATTAGCGTTTAAATTGGTACAAAAATAAAACCAATTGTAAGTTGGCCGGGAGGTTTTACGTGGAAAGTTTGATGAAACGTGTAGGTTGGAGATTTTTATGCACGAGGTCGTTCGAATAATAATCTGCTTAAAAAATTATTTTCGATTGTAAAGTGTAATCATGATACAATCAATAACGAGCGTTACGAATCAAATTTTCCGAACCTTGGGGTTTTATGAGTTTTTGAATAAATAAACGGTTTTCATTGCTGCAAAGGCCATTAAAAAACTCGACTGATAAATTTTTCCATTTCACAAATACAATGATGTTGGAACAACGTGTAATAAAAATTATCAAAAATAACAAACCTCGTTTATTTTACGTGCGGTTACAACAAATTAATTTAAAACAAACAAATAATTTCAAGCAGGTTCAGCAATTTCACGAGGATTTTTTAACAAAAGCTGCCATAGAGCTCAAAAGAAACTCATTCGCAGAACTGGAAATTATGTTTTTGTCTGAAATAATAAAAAAAGATCTCATGTAATCAGACAGATTCTGAAATAATAATTACACAAGTCCAGTTTTTTGAATTAAAAAAAAAAAATACCAGTAACAGTGTAAGAAAAAAAGTGACCATGAGAGATCGAATTTGCGACCTTGGCGCTTCAACTAGTTGAGCCAATAAGTGACTGAAGGTTTATATTTTGATTTTTTTTGCGAAAATTTGGATACCAAGGATAAAAACCTCAAAGCGGATTCATAAACCACAAGTAGTATTTCCTATGCAAACATCAAAAAATTGAAAAATCTGAAATTCAAAAACTCGGAAAATCGAAAAATAGAAGTGAAAAATTGAAAGATAGAGAAATCGAAAAATTGAAGAAACGAAAAATTGAAAAATCGAGAAATTGAAAAGTCGAAAAATTGAAGAACCGAAATATTGAAATTTCCCAAAACTGAAACATCAAAAAATGGAAAAATCGAGAAACCGAAATTGCCCAAAATCGAAAAATTAAAAATTTTAAATATCGAAAAATCGAAAAACCGATATCTAAAACAGATAAGTCAAAAAATCGAAAGATCGAGAGAAACATAAAAAACTGTAAAATCTAAAATCGAAAAATTCGGAAAATTGAAAGATAGATAAGTCAAACAACTGAGAAATTGATTAATTGGGAAATCGAACAATAAAAAAATCGAAAATTGAAAAATTGAAAAGCCCAAATATCGAAAAATGGAAAAAACCGAGGAATCGAACTCGAGAAGTAAAAAAAATCGAGAATTAGAAATTGCCCAAAATACAAAAATCAAAAATTTTAAAAATCGAGAAGTCGAAAAATCGAAAGATAGAGAAAACGAATCATCAAAAAATTTAAAAATCGAAGAAGTGAAAAAGTGAAAACTCGAGATCAAAAAACTGGTGAATTTAAAAATTGAAAAATGGAGAACAAAACATCAAAAATTCAAAAAATTTAAACAATTAATATAGGGGAAAAATAGAGAAATTAAAAATAGAAAAATCGAAAATTTTAAAAATCGAAAGGTCGAGAAAATGAAGCATCAAAAAATTGAAAAATCTAAAATTCAAAAATTCGCAAAATTGAAAGACAGAAAAGTCAAATAAGTGAGAAATTGAAAAATTTTTAAATTCGAAAAACTGAAAAATCCCAAAACTTCAATGTCGGAAATTTAGGAAATTAATTTTAAAAATCGAAAAATCACATTTTAAAAATCGAAAAATCACATTTTAAAAATCGAAAAATTGAAAAACCGAAACATCTAAACCCGAGAAACCGAAAATTCGAAAGAATCGAGAAAACAAATCAACAAAAAATTCAAAAATCCAAGAAGAAATTGAAAATAGAGAAATGAAGATGAAAAATTCAAGCAATTAACCTATGAAAAAATCGAAAAATTAAAAGTAGAAAAATAAAAATTTTAAAAATCGAAAAAGTGAAAAACCGAAACATCTAAAACCGCGAAGTCAAAAAAGAAAGATCGAGAAAATGAAACATCAAAAAATTGAAAAATCTAAAATTTCAAATCCAGAAAATTGAAAAATTGGTGAATTTAAAAATTGAGAAATCGAGAAATCAAATATCAAAAATTCCAAATAATGAAACAATTAAAATAGACAACAAAGTCGAAAATTAAAAACAGAAAAATCGAGAAAGCAACATCAAAAAATTGAAAAATTCAAAATTTAAAAATTCGCTAAATTGAAGGATTGAAAATTTAAATAAGTGATAAAGACGAGAAATCGAAAAATAAAAAAAATTGAAAAACAGAAATATCCAAAAAGTGGAAAGTTGAAAAATCAAAAAGCCGAAAAATCAAAAAATGGAAAAACCGATTAATCAAAAAGTCGGGAAGTTATAATATCGAGAAACTGAAATTGCCAAAAACCGAAAAATCAAAAATTTTAAAAATCGGAAAATCAAAAATTTTATAAATCGAAAAATTGAAAAACCGAGAAGCCGAAAAATCGAAGGAACGAGAAAACGAATCATCAAAAAATTGAAAAATGTAAAACTTCAAATATAGAAAATTGAAAAATTGAAAAATCGAAGAAGTGAAAAATTGAAAAATCGGGAAATCGAAAAATTAGAGAATTTAAAAATAGAAAAATCGAGAAATCAAACGTCAAAAATTCAAACAATTAAAATATGAAAAAGAATCGAAAAATTAAAAGTAGAAAAATAAAAAAAAATTTAATCGAAAAATTGAAAAACAGAAACAGACAAGTCAAAAAATCGAAAGATCGAGAAAATGAAACATCAAAAAATTGAAAAATCTAAAATTTAAAATTCGGAAAATTGAAAAATCAAAAAGCTGAAAAATCAAAAAATGGAAAAACCGATTAATCAAAAAGTCGGGAAGTTAAAATATCGAGAAACTCAAATTGCCAAAAACCGAAAAATCAAAAATTTTAAAAATCGGAAAATCAAAAATTTTAAAAAATCGAAAAATTGAAAAACCGAAACATCCAAAACCGAGAAGCCGAAAAATCGAAGGAACGAGAAAACGAATCATCAAAAAATTGAAAAATGTAGAACTTCAAATATAGAAAATTGAAAAATTGAAAAGTCGAAGAAGTGAAAAATTGAAAAATCGGGAAATCGAAAAATTGGAGACTTTAAAAATTGAAAAATCGAGAAATCAAACATCAAAAATTCAAACAATTAAAATATGAAAAAGAATCGAAAAAAATTAAAAGTAGAAAAATAAAAAAAAAAATCGAAAAATTGAAAAACAGAAACAGAGAAGTCAAAAAAAAATCTAAAGATCGAGAAAATGAAACATCAAAAAATTGAAAAATCTAAAATTTAAAAATTCGGAAAATTGAAAATTGAAAAATCGAAGAAATGAAAAAAAAAGTCCCAAAACTGAAATGTCGGAAAACCGGGAAATCAAAACATTGAGAAACAGAAATATCGAAAAAGTGGAAAATTGAAAAGCCGGAAAATCGATAAATCGAGAAAACGAATCATAAACAAAATGAAAAATCTAAAACTATAAATTCAGAAAATTGAAAATAGAAAAATCGAAGTGAAAAATTGAAAAATCGAAAAATCCAGAACTCAAACATCAAAAATTCCAAAAATTGAAACAATTAACATAGAAAAATACAAAATTTAAAAACTGAAAAATCGAGAAACCCAAAAATCGACAAGTCGAAAAATTGAAGAAGCGAACGTTTCTCAATTTTCGATTTTTCTATTGCCCGATTAATCGTTTTTTCCTCTTTTTGATTAACGATTTACCATGATAATGGCACGATTTCAGAGCATTCAATTTTACAGTTTCAAAGTTAAATTGCAAAATGTTAAACAATTTTGATTATTTTTCCAAAAATTTGGATGTCAATGGTAAAAGCTGAACACGGATTCATAAACCACATGTGAATAAGTATCTTATGTTATAAAATCAAAAACAAAATTACTATTTTAAATTTTGCAGATGACGTCTACCATTGGTGGAGTAATGATTAGCCAAATTTTAGTTAACGAAACAGATAGACAGACAGACAGACAGATAGACGGACAATCTGAATTAAACTCCAACAAAATCCCCAATATTCCAACCGTTCACACTCGCCGCCCCCGAGCTCGGTCCGTCCCGTGCCATCCGTCACCTTCTCTCCGAATAATCGACGATAAAAATGTGACGAATGCGAGAACGCTCGCTATTTATAAATACGCCCATCCAATCCGGAAATTTTTAAAATAGCCCAACTCTAAATCATTCACGTGCCCGCGATCTCCAATTCCGACAATTTTTAAATTCCAGGCCACAATTTTCCACAAACTCCGTCAATAATTAGGACGCACTTTCCCAAGGTCCGCGTTTGCCATATTTTCCTGACGACATTTAAATAAAAATTAATTGCTGGCAGAGGGTCAACGTCGACTACTTGTTGCGCCCGCGAAAACTTTGATCTTTCTGTTTACCTGAAAGCGATTTTTTCGAACGATAAATGTTATTACATTCAAGAGTTATTGCGATTTTATGACTGACCGATGATGTTTTTATCGCTTTCGGTGTTGGAGCCTCCTCTGGGAGGTGTATACAATTTTACGGCAATTTAAATTATGACCGGCGAATATTTACATCATAATCGGAACACCTAGACTCAGGTCCCCCAGGACCTGGGGCTGGGTGTACCACTCTACGACTACTTTACCTTCCGATGCTGTCGCTGGTCACGCTGCTGCATTCGCTTCCTTCGTCACTAGGAAACTTGGGTCGGTGTGGTTGTCCCATCGACGTTTGCGACGTTGCCGTGTGCAACGTTGCCGGCAGAGTCGCCGAACCGTGATGCACCTTTTCACCTTGGTCGCTTCCCGTACCGCCGTTTGCACCGCTACCTTCGGATCCGGTCGCTCCGGGCCCTATGTACCACGCTACGGATTATAATCATGGTGTTACAGTGCGGTGCGTAGCCATGCTTGATTATGTTGTGCGTTATTATGCGATGTCTTATTTACAGTGGTTAAGAATAATTATAATATAAATACGGAATGTAGGTCAGTTGTATGTGTGGTAGAGGTGTATTGTTTTGGGTACGACGCGGTGTCAATTCGAAACTCCGTAATTAAATTTGGAGTGGGTCCGGGATTCGTCTTCGGAGCCACTTTATTCACGAGTCTCGTTAACGACACCACGCGATCACAAAATTACAGTATGTTGTATTTAGGGGAAAAACAGCTTTCCTGCAACTGAACTACACGGTAAACATCTTTGGATAAAATGTACAGTACCCGATATAAATTAAGCAAATTTGAAAAGTTGCTTGATTCATTCGTGGTACTTGGGCCGCTATTATCCGAAGTGCGTTACAAAAATTAGTGTTTTTTATTTTACAGTGTTTACAAGACATGCACCAAAGAGCTTACTTGAACTAATATAGAAATTACGGAAAGAAAAGGGGACCAAAACACCACCTATGAAAATTCGCACCAAATTATTCGCAGCACCAACGCCCCGGCAACTTGTCCACAAAGCTTGATTTTTTTACAAAAATAAGTAAATTCAAGAACAACAACCTCATCAAACCATGCAATAAAAAAAATTAAATAAGGTTTTCCTTGATACACACTTAAATCGGACTCAAAAATACCGCGGACCTTATTTAACCTTCGCTAACGTTGCAACCAGATCTAACAATAAACAATAAAATTACCTTCAACTAATATCAACATTAATAAGGGTCAATTTCCAGTAGCATTAAACGAGAAACAAATTTAGATTTCCAAAACTACTACTCGTGTGTCTACTTAAAAAAATCAAGCAGAGTCGTCTTCTAAATCTACCCCCGAACCAAACCCACCTACTACTAATTAACCAAAAAAAAAAAACTTACTCGACAGCTGGCTGATGTTATCCGCGCTCCCGAACTTGTTTTTAATTAAGTGGGCGAACTCCCTCGGTTTCGACATGACGGATCCGCTGAATCCCGTGATCCCGTCCCGAATATTTCCTCCCACGTTCCTGAGATAAGAGAAAGCCATGATTTTCGACCAACATCGCGAGCACAACAACTGATAATGATTGTGTGCGTATGGCTTACTTTAGTCCTTGACCCATGTCGCGGAGGACCTCTCGAGGGGGCCGGTGGCTCTGCACCAGGCCGCGGGTCTCCAACTCGTGCACGCGCTTCTGGTACGTGTCGAGCTTCTTCTGCAGCTGCGATATCACCTGGGCGCTCTTTTGATTCTTTTTCTCGAAGACGGCTTTGATGCGTTGGACTTGCTGCTTGTCGGCGTTAGCTGCCAGCTTAAGGTACTCGTTGACATTGTCTGAAACGTCGAGGCGGATTCATGAACCACTAGTACACAAAAATACTAAATCCGTCCCTGCGCGTGTTTGTACTTAAAATTTTACGGTTGCATACATTAAATAAGACACCACAAACAAACAGGTAAATTTGTACGCGTTCGTGCAATTAATTTAGATTGCTTTGTAAACACGGCTTTGAAATAACAAACTTGGGAAGGCGGTGGGCGACGAAAAGCAGAGACTGCGATTAATGAAGTTTCGATCCCGGCGACAAAAATCAGACGATTCCAATTTTATTTACCTTGTTACCTCTGGTAAAAAAAGGTCAATTACTTTGCCCGATTTATTCGCCGCGCAAAAAATGGGTCGCTCCTGTTTGTTGCGCTAACCCGATTTTTGACTAATAAAATTTTCGTTTCAAGGTGACTTGAGTTACTTTTGGTTAAGAGAGAGCGCTTATCGATGATTAGAGCAGAGTGACGTAATGGCGGAAACTTTGGTTAGGAGACAAAGAAATTGTTCGATAAAATTCAAATGGTGCCCTAGATCGGGTACAACTAATGGTGAAAAATTATTTGCTTGCATGCGGACGGCGGTTATCGTTGGAGTCCGAACAATCACGCTGGGAGAGTTCTCTAATAGCACGTTTGGTGGCAACAATAGGCCGAAATGGGTTAGAGAAAACTCGGGTGTAATTCGACGCTGTTCCTTATTGCTTTTTTCAGTACACGAGAGATACACAGGAAATTAGAATTTTCATAGAAGTTTATTTTTTTTGTAATGTAAATATACAAAATTTATAAGTCAATTTGTAATTTATAAATCCATGTTGAATTTTTTTCCTGGACACCGAGATCTCTGAAAAAAATCAAAATTGAATCATAATTCAACTTTTCGCTCCTTCAATTTTTCTTTGATATTTCAATTTTTCTAATTTTCAATTCTCCATTCTTTTATTTTTCAATTTCTCAATTGTCGAATATATATTTCAGTTTTACGATTTTTCAATTTTTCGGTTTTTATAATTTTCGAGTTTTTCAATTTTTGGCATTGCTAAATTTTCAATTTTTCTATTTCCCCATTGCTTAATTTCTTCGACTTCTCAATTTTTCAGTTTTTCAATTCGTCAATTTAATGATTTTTCAGGTTTCTGATTTTTTAATTTTTCGTTTTTCTTTAATTTTTCAATTTTTGCCGTTTCTAAATTTTCGATTTTTCTACTTTTTAGATTTTTTGATTTTCCCATTTCTGGATTTCTGGACTTTTCCATGTTTCGACCTTTCGAGTTTTCAGTTTTTTAATTTTTTAATTTCATGATTTTTCAAGTTTCTGGTTTTTCAATTTCTCAATTTTTCGAAATTTCAGTTTTGAGACTTTTCGATTTTTCAATTTCAATTTTTTTTATTTTTCAAGTTTTCAATTTTCCGATACATACTTCAGTTTCACGATTTTTCAATTTTTTTGTTCTTCTGTTTTTCGATTCTGCAATCTCTCGAAGTTTAAATTTTTTGATTTTTCAATTTCTGACGTTTTTACCTTTTCGAGTTTTCGACTTTTTAGAATTTTGATTTTCCCATTTCTCGATTTCTCGACTTCTCGATGTTTCGAGTTCTCGATTTTTCAGTTTTTAAATCAACTTCATGATTATTCATTCAGGTTTTTGATTTTTTGACTTTTCAATTTTTTGACTTTTCAATTTTTTAAATTTTCAATTTCTCGATTTTTTTTCGATTCTTCAATTTTTCTTTGATTTTTCCATTTTTCGTTTATTCAATTTTTGATTTCCCGATTTAAAAATTTTTGATTTTTCAATTTTTTGGTATTTCGATTACCTATCGACTTTTCAACTTTTCAGTTAGGATTTTTCGATTTTAAAATTTTTCAATTTATTTAGGTTTTTAATTTTTTATTTTTAAATTTTTGATTTGTTTTTCCATTTCTCGAATTTTTAAATTATCTATTATCTCAATTTCTCAGTTTCTTGATCCGTCAAATTTTTGAATTTTCAAATTTTCGATTTTTCAATTTTCACACATTTTCAATTTTATGATCTTTCAATTTTTCGATTCTTCAATTTTTGCTGATTTTTAGAGTTCTCGATGTTTCGACTTCTTTATTTATCGAGTTTTCAGTTTTCCAATTCTTCAGTTTTATAATTTTTCAGGTTTCTGTTTTTTCAATTTTTGGGTTTTTTTAAATTTTTCGGTTTTTCAATTCTTGCCCTTTCTAAATTTTCGTTTTTTCTACTTTTTAGATTTTCCCATTTCTCAATTTCTGGACTTTTCCATGTAGATGTTTCGTCCTCTCGAGTTTTCAGTTTTTAATTTTTAATTTAATGATTTTTCAGGTTTCGGATTTTTCAGTTTTTTTATTTAAAAATTTAAAAAAAAGTTTTTATATCCTTCAATTTTTCGATTTTTCAATTTCAAGTTTTTTTATTTTTAAAGTTTTTAATTTTCTGATACATATTTCAGTTTTACTATTTTTCAATCTCTCGATTTTTAAATTTTTTGATTTTTCAGTTTCTGCCTTTTTGATTTTTCGACTTTTCGATGTTTCGAGTTCTCGATTTATCAATTTTTCAGTTTTTAAGTCAATTTCATGATTATTCATTCAGGTTTTTGTTTTTTGACTTTTCAATTTTTTAATTTTTCGATTCTTCAATTTTTCTTTGATTTTTCCAGGTTTTTAGTTTTTTAATTTTTAATTTTTTAGGTTTTCTATGTTTGTATATTTTGATCTTGACTTTTCAATTTCTCGATCGTAAAATAAAATCAAACTGAAACATAGAGGAATGTAAAATTTAAAAAATCGAAAACCAAAAAACCAAAAAACGAGATTTTTTTTGATTTCTCAGTTTTTCCATTTCTCGAATTTTGAATTTTTTTAATATTGCAATTTTTAATTTTTTTAGTATTTTAATTTTTCAATTTCTCGACATCCCGGTGTTTCGATTTTAAATTTTGTTCGACTTTTCGCTTTTTCCATTTCTCGATTTGTTCAAATGTTCATAGTGTAATTTTTTGATTTTTTCAAATTTTTTTTGGTTTGTCGATTTTTCGATTTTTCAATTCTTTAAATTTTAGATTTTTCGATTTTTTTATGTTCCGATTGCTCGATTTTCGACTTTTCGTATTTTGACTTTTCAGTTTTTCCATTGTTGAGGTTCCTGATTTTTCGATTTACTTCAGTTTTTAGTTTTTAAATTTTTGATTTTTCGATGTTTGGATATTTTGATCTCGACTTTTCAATTACTCGATCCTAAAAAGAAAACTCAAACATCAAGAAATGTAAAATTTTAAAAAATCAAAAATCAAAAAACCAAAAAAACGAGATTTTTTTGATTTGTTTTCCCATTTCTCGAATTTTTAAATTATTTATATCAATTTTTCAGTTTCTTGATCCGTCAAATTTTTGAATTTTCAAGTTTTTCTCAATTTTCACACACATTTTCAATTTTATGATCTTTCAATTTTTCGATTCTTCAATTTTTGCCGTTTCTAATTTCCGATTTTTAGAGTTCTCGATGTTTCGACTTCTTTATTTATCGAGTTTTCAGTTTTCCAATTCTTCAATTTTATAATTTTTTAGGTTTCTGATTTTTTAATTTTTCAATATTTGGCCTTTCTAAATTGCGATTTTTCTCCTTTTTAGATTTTCCCATTTCTCGATTTCTGGACTTTTCCACGTTTCGTCCTCTCGAGTTTTCAGTTTTTTAATTTGTTAATTTCATGATTTTTCAGGTTTCGGATTTTTCAATCTATTTCAAAATTTTCGATTTTTCGATCTCAATTTTTCGATATTTCAGATTTGGGGCTTTTCAATTTTTCAATTTCAAGTTTTTTTTATTTTTCAAGTTTTCAATTCTCCGATACATATTTCAGTTTTACGATTTTTCAGTCTCTCGATGTTTAAATTTTTTGATTTTTGAATTCTTGGCGTTTCTGCCTTTTCGGTTTTTCGACTTTTAGATGTTTCGAGTTCTCGATTTTTCAGTTTTTAAGTCAATTTCATGATTATTTATTCAGGTTTTTGTTTTTTTGACTTTTCAATTTTTTAATTTTTCAATTCTTCAATTTTTCTTTGATTTTTCCAGGTTTTTAGTTTTTAATTTTTTGGGTTTTCCATGTTTGGATATTTTGATCTCCATCGTAAAATAAAAACAAACTGAAATATCGAGAAATGTAAAATTTAAAAAATCGAAAATCAAAAAAACCAAAAATCTTTTTTGATTTCTCAGTTTTTCCATTTCTCGAATTTTAATTTTTTTATTATTTCAATTTATAATTTTTTTAGTATTTCAATTTTTCGATTTTTCGACATCCCGGTTTTTCGATTTTAAAACTTTTTCGACTTTTCGTTTTTTCCATTTCTCGATTTTTTCAAATGTTCATAGTGTAATTTTTTGATTTTTCAATTTTTTTTGGTTTGTCGATTTCTCGATTTTTCAATTCTTTAAATTTTAGATTTTTCGATTTTTTAATGTTCCGATTGATCAATTTTCCACTTTTCGGACTTTGTCTTTCGATTGTGCAGGTTCTCGATTTTTCGATTTATTTCAATTTTTTGGTTTTTCGATGTTTGGATATTTTGATTTTGACTTTTCGGCGTTTCGATTTTCTAATTTTTGGATTTTGTAATTTTTCAAATTTTCCAGTACTCGATCGTAAAATCAAAAAAAGTGAAACATCGAGAAATGTAAAATTTAAAAAATCAAAAAACCAAAAAGCGATTTTTTTCAGTTTTTTCATTTTTCGAATGTTTAAATGTTCATTTTTTGATTATACGATTTTTTGATGTTTCGATTTCCCGATTCAAGATTTCAATTTTGGGAATTTTTCAAGTTTTCCATATTTTAGATTTTTCATTTTTTTTATGATCCGATTGCTCAATCTTTGGATTTTTCGTCTTTTCGGATTTTGATTTTTCAGTTTTTCGATTTTTCCCTTTATGTGCTTTAAAAATATTTCACATTGTCCGCACTTGTACAGACCGCGTTCTCTTGGAATTTGATTTTGAC